GTAGAGCAGGGTTGATGGCAGAGTAGAGTTGGGTATAATAGGGTGAAGTAGAGTCGAGTAGGAAACAACCGAGTACATTAGAGTAGAGTTGAATCGAGTAGAGTAGACTAGGGGTAGAGTCGAGTATAAGCAACGCATAATGAGAGTGGAAGCAGGTAGAGTAGAGTGGATTCGAGTACATCAGGCCAGTGTAAAGCAGGGCACAGTAAAGCAGAGTGGAGTAAAGAAATAGGGCCTGTGGTAGAGTAGAATTGGGCATAACCGAGTAGAGTAGAGTAGAATAGTGTGGAGTAGAGTTCACTCCAGTCCAGTCTACTCCTTTCCAGTCTACTTCAGTCCGTTCCATTCCACTGTATGTTAGCCTTCTGGTTCATCTGGAATCTGCGCTGGCTGATTTGTTTGACAGTTTTGTAATGATGATGTTCCGTGCTTAGCCGTCTGTTGTGTGCTGTCGTCGGTCGTCCTTGCTGTCGTCCTTGCAATTCAGAGGAGGGGGGGTCGGTTCGAACCCCCCCTCCCTCTTGCGCTGGGAGGGGTGGGCGCCCGGTTCGAACCCCCCCTCTCTCCAATTCAGGGAGGCACCCCCCCCCCGGTTCGAATCACCCTTCCTTGCACCAGGGGGGGGGGGGGGTATGGCGGTCGGTTCGAACCAGCCCCAGTCAGTTCCCAGGGCGTACCACATGTTTTTTTTAGGGGGGGGGGGGGAGGCGGTCCCCACGTGTCCAAACTAACATCAGTCCAAGGCAAGCGCCCACGAAACGCAATGTCTCGGAGTAGAAGATGGAGAAGGAGGGAGGAGAAGGAGGGATGAGGGAGGAGTAATAGGAGAAGAAGCCCCCCCCTCCCTTCATCTCCCTGCTCGCCTCGATCCTTGATCAGCTTTCTCCCATCCTCCCACACCCCGCCGTTGCTGAGGCGAAGGCTCGTAAGGGGGGAGGGGCTGACCAAGCTCGCTTACAGATCTCGCCTTCAGTCACGTGATGCTTCCCCCCCCCCTCTTCCCATCAGTCTCCTCCCCCTTCTCCTGGTCCTCCTCCCTCTTCCCCATCGGCCGACGACTACGAGAACGAGGACGATGGCGACAATCGGCGGCGGTGCCGGCGACCGCCCCCCCCCCCCCCCCCCCTCCCTGGCAGCGCCGAACACCTGCGCGCCTTCGCCGCGAATCGCGGTGGGAGTCTCTCGTACGCGGTGGCGCGGCAGGCGCCGCCAGCAGGGCAAGCGGAGGGGAGGGGAGGGAGGAGGGGAGGGAGGAGAAGGAGGAGGAGGAGGAGTACGAGGAGGAGGAGGAGGAGGGAGAGGGGGAGGGAGGCTGAGAGAAAGGGGGAACGACGACTGGAGAGGTGAAGCAGGGGGTGGATGAGGATTCATGATGTTGATGATGATCATGATGATGCTGATGATGCTGATGCTGATGCTGATGCTGATGCTGATGATGATGGTGATGCTGATGATGATGATGATGATGATGGTGTTGCCGATGCTGATGCTGATGCTGATGCTGATGCTGATGCTGATGTTGATGCTGCTGATGATGATGCTGCTGATGATGATGATGATAGTGTTGATGATGATGCCAATGATGATGGTGCTGATGATAAGAATGCTGATGATGCTGATGATGCTGATGAGGATGAGGATGGGGAGGAGGAGGAGGACTAGGAGGAGGATGTTGCTGCTGCTGATGCCGATGTTGGTGCTGCTGATGATGCTGATGATAATGCGGCTGCTGATGATGGTGGTGGTGATGATGTTGATGCTTAGGATGCTGAGGCTGATGCTGATGATGTGGATGCTGATGCAGTTCATGATTATGATGCAGTTCATGATGATGCTGATACTGATGCTGATGCTGATGATGATGACGATGAAGATGAGGAGGAGGATGCGGAGGAGGAGTAGGAGGATGATGCTGTTGCTGATGCTGATGATGATGCTGATAATGCTGCTGCTGGTGATGGTGATGTTGCTGGTGGTGATCATGATGATGTTGATGTTGGTGATGCTCAGGCTGATGCTGATGTTGATGTGGATGCTGATGCAGTGCATGATGATGATGACGATGATGATGATGATGACGATGATGGTGATGATGCTGATGCTGACGATGGTGATGGTGATGGTGATGGTGATGGTGATGGTGATGATGATGCTGATGATGATGATGGTGTTGCCGATGCTGATGCTGATGCTGATGCTGATGCTGATGTTGATGCTGCTGATGATGCTGCTGATGATGATGATACTGTTGATGATGATGCTGATGATGATGGTTCTGATGATAAGAATGCTGATGATGCTGATGATGCTGATGAGGATGAGGATGGGGAGGAGGAGGAGGACTAGGAGGAGGATGTTGCTGCTGCTGATGCCGATGCTGGTTCTGCTGATGATGCTGATGAGAATGCTGCTGCTGGATGCTGGTGATGTGGATGCTGATGCAGTGCATGATGATGATGATGATGATGATGATGATGATGATGATCATCATGATGATGATGATCATGATGATGACGATGATGATGATGACGATGATGATGATGATGATGATGATGATGATGATGATGATGATGATGATGATGATGATGATGATGATGGTGGTGATCATGGTGGTGGTGATGATGCTGCTGCTGATGATGATGATGGTCATGATCATGGTGATGAAGAGGAGAAAGAGTAGAAGGAGCAATTCGACGAGGAGGCGTTGGATAAGGAGGAAAATTAACAGGAGGATGAGGAGGAGGAGGAGGAAGAAGAGGAGAAGGAGGCGACGGCGGCGACGGCGCCGTCGCAAGCGACGTCGGAAAACCTTTCGTTCACCCCGCATTTAGGTCATTCCCACACCCCCGGGGACCCGGGACCTGTTGACCATCATGCCGACCTTGTCGAGGACATAGTTGCGGCAGCCATGCCGCGCTCGTGAGGGCCGCGCCCGCTTGTGCCCTGCTCGTGGTAGTTCTGCGCCGCCAACGACGTGCCACGATGGAATCGCGCAGTAAATCCCCAGACTAACGACGAGTCTCCGCTCTTGATGGGTGGTCACTGGAGCTCTAGACCCCATCCCCAGCTTGAGGACAAGGGGTCTTGAGCTCCAGAAAAACGGGCCCTGGGGTCCCCAGCCTGGGGACCCCAGGGCTCGTTTTTCGGCCCAGGTAGCTGTTGATGGTCCCCGGGGCCTGACGTTGGGCTGCCAGAGGCCAACAGAGAAGACCTGCAGTCGTGATTCCAGCTCGCCGCGAGGGATGCCCGGGCAGGAGTGGCCCCAGCTAGCAGGGGCCGCAGGAGGTCCCTGCGTGGTGGTCTCCAGCTGGACTCTACTCTGCAGAACCCCCCGGATGCCCAAACAGCTGCTCCAGTACGCTCACCGAAGGTCTCGATCCCCAAGCGCGTCCTCCTTCCCCGAGCGCGCGCCTCGGTGCCTGCGGCCTGTGAGCCGTCGCCGCCCCCCTGCCCCTGCCCGGAGAGCTGGAGGCGAGCCCCCCGTGCTGTCGGGCAGTTCCTGGCAGGTGGGCGGAACAGCACCCTGGAGCCCGATTTTCTCCGCGCCGACGGCTGCGATGCGTTGCCGTCGTCGCCGATGCAGCGCGATACATCGGCGATGGGGCGCGATCCTCCGACCCCTTCTGCAGTCAAGATGCCGAAGTTGTCTTCTGCAGTCGGGAGGGGCTCGCTGTTCCTTAAGTCACTTTTCATGCTTCTAGGCTCTTCAGGGGCGAAAATGGGGCTTCGTTCCTTATTCAATCGCTTCGCTCACTCCACCGGCCCATTTCGCACCACGGTGGCTGCACGGTGGTGTGCTCATATAACCATGCGGAACGGTGGAACAGGCAGGACTGTCCGCGAGGAGATCTTTGGAGATGCGACTCACACCCTGTCGAAGAGAGCCGATCGACTGCCCCACAGGGCGCCAAAATGGCTCAAGAGAGCTCCAGCAGAGTTTCGAGACGTACCTAGGTTGTGGATCAGAGTTCTCATGGACGCTTCTTGGGGTCTCATCGGAGGGCTCTCGGGGGCCTCGAGGGAGCAATTTTGAAGCCTCCGGGAAGCTTCTTGGGGGCTTTTTGGGGGCCTCTTAGGGCATCCTGGGGGCTTTTTGGAGCTTTAGGTGTCCTCTTTGGGGGCATCTTGGGGGCCTCTTGTGGCCTCTCGGGGAGCTCTTGGGGGCCTCTGGGGGCTTCCTCGGCGCCTCTTGGGGTCGATAGTTCGCTATGTCTGCTCGGGCCCACCCTCTGGGCCCCCCTCGTGGGGCCATCCTGGGGCAGTCTTGGAGGCCTCCTGTGCCGTCTTGAGGCCATCTTGGGCCATTTGGGGGCTCTCTTGGAGGCTTTTTGTTCAGTTTTGGATCGATCTTGGGGCCTCTTGAGCCGTCCATGTCGGTCGGCAGCTCGAAGAAGCAGTACCGCCAACATCTGTCGAAAACCATGTTTTTGCATAATCTATATATACATATATATATATATATACGTATGTATGTAATATGTACATACATTATATATATATAAATAAAAAGTATATAGTGCGCTTGCGGGACCTCTCGAAGTCATCTTGGAGCCCTCATGGGGCGTGTTGGTGGGCGCTTCTTGGGCCGTCTTAGGACCAACGTGGGCCATCTTGGGACGCTCCTGGCCTGAGGCCGTGGGGCGTGCTACCCTTTTGGCGCCTCATTGGAGCGCTCGGGTGGGGCCCGAGGCCGCGCCCAGGAGTTCGGGCATCTCTGACCCGACCTCGCCAGGACCTTGCTGGGACCTTGCCAGGGTACTTTTCGTCCACGGACCCCCAGAGGTCGCTACGCGCGCGCGCACTAGGAACATTCTCAAGCTCTTACACCCGAGTTTACCACGCCTGTGGCCCGTTGGGCTGGCGAAGTTCGCGGTCCTTCTGGTAGTACCTCGACTGCACTCGGACCCAATCTGGGAGGCCTCCTGTCACACAGAGGGCTCGACCTCCTCTCTCGCTGAAAGGGCTATGGGGGGCTCCGGCGAAGCCATGCGCGCCACCAGGCCCTTGCCGAGGCGCACGGGGCCGGCGCTCGCCGGGACCATCGCCGTTCGCAGGAGGCTCCGCCGCCCTGAGACGACGAGGTCGATGCCGCTGACGACGACGACGACAGCAACGACGACGACCGACGACGATGTCGACGACCGACGACGACGAGGACCGACGACGACGACGACGACGACGGACGACCACGACAACGGCCGACGACGACGACGGACGACGACGACGAAGACGACGACGACGACGACGACGAAGACCGACGCCGACCGACGACGACGTTGACGATGACGACGACGATGATGATGGCGACCGACGAACACGGCGATGATGACGATGATGACGACGACGAAGACGACGACGACGACCGACGACGACCGACGACGACGATGATGATGACGACCGACGACGACGATGACGACCGCCACGAACGGCGACGACGGCGACGACAACAGACGACGACAGACGAGGACGACGCCGACGGACGACGACGACGACGACGACGACGACGGACGACGACGACGGAGACGACGCCCACTACGATCGGCGCCGACAACGCCGACCGACGACGACGACAACGACGTCGACGACGATGGACGACGACGACGTCGACGACCGACGACACGACGACGACGGACGGTGACGACGACGACGATGGCGAACGACGACGACGACGTCGACGACGACGACGACGACGGCGACGTCGACGACGACGGCGACGACGACGACGGACGACTACGACGACCGACGACAACGACGACCAAGGACACCGACCACGACGAAGACCGACCACGACGACGACCGACGACGAAGACGACGACGACGACGACGACCGACGTCGACGTTGACGACAACGGCGACGACGACCGACGACGACGACGACGACGACGGCCACGAACGGCGACGACGACGACGGACGACGACAAAAAGGACGACGACGACGGACGACGATGACGATGACGACGACGACGACGACGACGACGGAGACGACGCCCACTACGAACGGCGACGACGACGCCGACCGAAGACGACGACGACGACGTCCACGGACGATGATCACGACGACGACGACAGACGACACGGCGACGACGGACGACGACGACGACGACGGCGGACGACGACGACGACGACGACAACGGCGGACGACGACGGAGGACGACAACGCCGACGACGACGGCGACGTCGACGGCGGGCCACTACGACGACCGACGACACCGAACGACGGCCGACGACCGACGACCGACTACGACGACGAACCACGACCGACCCCAAATACAAACGGCGACGACGACGACGGACGACTACGACGACCGCGACGAACGGCGACGACGAACGGCGACGACCGACGACGACGGCGACGTCGACGACAACGATGCCCGACGACGACTGAGACGACGACGACTACGACGACGACGGACGACGACGACTACGACGTCGACGACGATGTCGCTAACGACGACGGCGGACGATCACGACGACGGGCGACCGACGACGACGGCGACCGACGACGACGATTACGAAGATGACGGCGACGACAACGAATGGCGACAACGACGACGACGACGGACGACGACGTCGACGACCTGCGACGACGACGACCAGGGACGACGACGACGGAAACGACCACGACGACGACCGATGACGACGACGACGACCGCGATGATCGATGACGACGACGACGAACGCCGCCGCCGACGACTGACGACGACGACGATGACGACCGACGACCACGACGACGACGATGATGACAACGACGAACGACGACGACCGAGGACGGCGACGACGACCGACGACGACCGACGACAACCGACGACGACAACGTTGACGACGACGAGCACTGACGACGACGACGACGTCCGACGACGACGACGACGACGACGTCCGACGACGACGACGTCCGACGACGACCGACGACGACGACGAGGGCGGACGACGACGACGAACGATCGACCACGACGAAGACGACGACCGACGACGACGACCGACGATGCCGACGACGACGGTGGACGACGATGACGACGACGACGATGACGACCGACCGACCACGACGACGAGGACGACGGACGACGACCACGGGAACGACGACGATGACCGACGACGACGACGACCACGCCCGGCGATTACGACGACGACGACGGACGACGACGACGTCGACGACGACGACCGCGACCAACGGCAACGACGGACGACGGCGATGACGTCGACGACCACGACGGACCAGACCAATACGACGACTGCGACGGACGACGACGGCGACGGTTGATTACGACGACAGCGACGATGACGAACGACGACGACCACGACAGATGACGGACGACGACGTCGACGACGACGAGCCGCAAGGACCGCGAACGACGACGACGACGGACGACGACGACGACGACGACGACGGAGACGGCCACGATGATGACGACGGCGGTGGCGAGGACGACGACGACGAACGACGACGACGTCCGACGACAACGGACGACGACGACGACGCACGACGACGACGACCACCAACCCCGTTGACCGTCGAACTACAAGCGACGACGTCGGCGACGACGGCGACGAAGGCGAAGACGGTGACTGACGACGACGACAACGTCGACGAGCGATGACGATGACGACGACGACGACGACGACGACGACGACGACGACGACGACAGACGACGAAGACGACCGACGACGACGACGAGGTCGAACGACGGCGACGACGACCGACGACGACGACCACGTGGACGACGCCGAACGACGACCGACGGCGGTGGCGACGACGACGCGTCCTGTAAGCCTCGGCAACTCTTCAGTGGCAGTCTTCTGGCCTGCATGCATGCATATTTGTAGGCCAGGGGCCCCAATAGCGGCCTCATGGGCCGAAGTCACGGAAAGGCCTCGATCGGTCCATTTCCGATCAGTAACGTTCGGCGACGAGGGCCGGCGGCGACGACGACGACGACGGCGGCGACGGGGACGACCACGATGACGACGACGGCGACTGCGCCGTTGACAAAGACGACAACGACGACGGCGAGGGTTGGGGAATGTCGCCTCCACGTCGAGGCTCCGTGTGCTCTGACGGTTGCACGCTGCTCGGTGGAAGGAGGTACAATTAGGTTCCTAGGTCCCGACCTTGTGAGGCCGCCTTCCTACTTCAAGAGTCGAATGGTTTCCCCTCTTCCCTCCTCCTCAGGGGGCGGGCTGAAGCCCAACCTACTTCAACGCCTTCCTACTTCACATTTCTACCCGCCTCCTCCAACCGACGGGTAGTGTCAGCTGCGAATATGAGTTGGGATAGAACAGATACCCATGGGCTCAGGTGGTCTTCTGTCGTGGACGACGATCAATGGAGAGGAAGCATATTGCCAAATACGTTCCAGATGTCAAAGAAATGTTTAAACTATGCTTGAAACTTACATATGTTTAGAACATGTTTCAACCAAGTGTAACACACTTTTAGTTCAATGATCGGATTGTTAGGGTGTCGTTTGTCATGGCATCCGCAAGTCTTGTGGCGATGTGATGAACGCTTGGGAGGTGGTCAGACTTCTGGTGCCCTGTTTTTTCAAAGCGCGGGCCCCAGAGCTTCCGACCCGGAGCTTTCGACCCCTGCAGGGACTGGCTTTGCATCCGCCCCAGGCCCACGTGGCCCCCCAGCTTCCGAAACTATACAGAAGACAATTCAGCATACGTTTGTTCAGGACGTGGGAGGTCTGTGGAGGGAGGATGAGGACGGCGAGGGGAGTGGAAGGATTCATCCGAAGGGATTTTGAGATTCCTGGATGCCTTCGTATCGTACGGAGGGGCATGTGTTAGGGGCCGCGCCTCCTCCTTCCGCTCCTCATCGCTCCTGCTCCCTCGTCATGCTCCCTCATCCTCCCTCCGTCTCCGCCCACGCATCATCCTAGTTCTTCTCTCCCTCCCTCACTCCTCCTCTGCCCTCGTTCCCTCCTCCTTCCCCACCCCTTCTCCTGCCTTCTTCCTCCTGCTTCCCACTCCTCCCTCACCACTCTCTCCTCCTCCCTGCTCCCCCGCCCTTCTCACTCCAGTCAATTGCCCCCCCCATGTCCCTCGGTTCCCGGTCGCGCCTCAAAATCAATCGTGGCAAGAGGTTGCCAGTGGGGCGCCCAGAAGTACATAGTTATTACGATGACTTGGAGCGGGCTGGGGGTCTGCCCGAGACCGTCAAAAACTGAGCCCTGCGGGAAACGTGAACCAGGGATGGATCCCTGGAGGCGTCCTGGGACCGATGTCGAGCGGCTTTGGCCTCATGCCCCCCGCTCCCGGACGAGACTTTGGGGTCCCAACCAGTTCAGACCCCCGACCGCCTCTAATTTGTGTAGAGGAAAAATATCATAAACGTAAACTTTGGGCGCCCCGCGCGGATTTCTTGGATTCGCGCTGGGGCGCTGGGCCCCCCACTGGCGGCGCCTCCGGCGCCGCCCCTGGCGCGCTCCGCGCTGGAGGGGGTCCAGCGCAGACCCCTGCGCGGACCGTCGAATGTTTATGTTTATGCAGTTTTGTTCTTCGTCTACTGTGAGGATCTCCTTCCCTTCCCCGCATGCTTCTCTTCTCCCTTCCTCAGGAGCAAGATGCAACCCACGGGTGGTTCAATGGGCGCGCGGGGCCTTTTTAGTACGCAGGTTTTCTCAACGGTTTCTCTGGCCATCCAGCGCAATGTAGCTTTTCAGTCCGGCTTCGTATCCGGCTCAAGATTCAAGTTCCCATATTGTGCAATCCAATCTCTTCACACTTTACATCCATTCTTACTTCCTCCTGCTTCTTTCTGCGCACACATTGGGAATCAATTATGGCAACTCGTGCGCCCGGCACGCCCGTGAAGGACGTTCTGCAGCCACGATCTGATGGTTCTGCAGGTGGCAGCTCTGTGCGACCGACTGGTGGAGGACCGAAGCGACCTGAACGTCCCGAGTCTTACGCCCTGGCCACACCGCCGCCGAAGAGCGCACTCAAGCAGCCGCGCCTCGGTAGCCCAAGTGCCGCCATGGACACCGGCCCGGCCGACGCCGCTGCCCAACAAACCGCTCTTCAGCACGCTCTGGGGGAAGCGGCATCGGCGTCC